ACTTCTACCCATACTTCTACTTCTACTTCTACCACCACCACCACCACCACCACTACTACTACTACTCCTACTACTACTACGACTACTACTACTATTGCTACTACTACTACTACCACTACTACTAGTACTACTACGACTGCTACTACTACTACTACTACTACTACCACTACTACTGTAATATTTTTTTTGATCTAAATTATTTTTAAAATGATCTCCTCAAACAATTTTTTTTGATCCCTATCAATTTTTTTTTTTGATCCTTCACCCCTTGGGTGCTGGGTGTAATCCTCCGCAAGGAGGCGCCGTTTTCATTCCGGAACTCGTGTAACTGCTTCGACCGTCTCCTCCAGACCTTGGATTCTCTGAACGGATTTAGTTTCACCACTGTATTCCCTGCAACTTTTTCCGCCGGGCTTCACGGCAATTCCACTCTCTTTGACCAGATTCACGTTCATGTTTGCAGCTTGATTTCACTTTCAAGATGTACTGTCTCACATTTCCAACCACGACCACTTTGAGATCGGACACGTTACGGTTCCTTGTGTCTGTCCACACTTGCACTTCCACACCCCCCCCCCACCTTGCAACCTAATTCGTGTTTCTATCCCACCCGCTATCTAGGGTAACAGAAGGAAATGGTACTTGACACACTTGTGTGTCGGTACCTTTCCTTCTGTTTCTCCTTTTCTACTCCTAGCTACCCGGGCGGTTTAAGACGTATGCCCCGCTCGCTAACTAGTGAATTTAATTCATGCGGCTAAGTAGTCAGTAACTAGCAGGTTTCGTAACTAGTGGCCTTGTCACTACACCTATCTTTCTCTCTTTCCTTTGCGTTTTCCTTTCTGTCTTTCTTTCCTTTCGTTCTAAGGCTTTTTAGGTGATTAGTTAGTTCGCCAGAGGGCCGATATCGGCGTTCTGTGCGTGTCCACCTCTGAACTCTGTCTTTCTCAACTTTTAAGTCGCAGGGGGCGTGACGGTCGATTTCCGTCACGCCAACGAAGCTAGGGAAATCGACTGGATGGAAGTTTGGACGCAAACTTCTGTACCTGCGCGGATGAAAACTTTTGCACACGCTGTGACTCCACTTTTCCTTTTGTTGTTTCCATGATGGTTGTTCGCATGATATCCCCCAAAACAGGTTTCCTTAGCTGTGGTAAAATGCTAGTGCGCTTGTTAAACAGTTCTTTTCTTCGGACCCTTGCACCTTACCGTTCTTGCAGTAAAGGGCTAATGCAGTAACTAGTTTCCGCAGTCAAGTGTGAAACCACTTTGTTCAATCTTCGCCTTTCTGTTCCACCACCTTTCTTTGACTTGGCAACTGAGTTAACAGCAAACCAATGTCAGAGTGTGGGTGGTTTGGTGGCCTGTTTTGGGGTAATTGTGATGGGGTCAGGAGGCGAGCCCAGTTTATTTGTTCAAGATCTATTCCAAGCGGCTGGAGTCTCTGTCGAAAGATCAACAGTCAAGAAAAGCAACATGAGCTCATGTCTATAGTATATTCTATAGTTCTCTATAGGATGACCTGACAAAGAAACACACAGTCACCGACCTGGATCTTACAGTGTCAAATGTCTGCCTGAATTTGGACAGGTCAGATCCAGGTATGGCTCATATGACATATGGTTTTGGCCCCTGTTCATCCACTTAGAAAACAGATTGCCAAGGTCGGCGGACATTTTGGCATAGACCGGACCGGTGCTTTTCCTGCCTACTTCGTTCTGCCCGTTTTTTCGCGGTGGCGAGGCCTGGAAAGATTGGACGTCCTCCGAGTTCGACTACCAGGTGTTGAAGGCGCATCTGGTTTGAGCAGAGGAAGTCGCGTTGGGGCAGAGGAAGAAAGAATCTCCAGAAAAACATAAAAACCATCCTCCCAACCCAACCTGGGCAGATCTGGGCAAGAGGAAGTCGCCTCCAGCAGCCTCAGAGTCAGAGGAAGAAAAACAACAGAAAAACCTCTTGACTGTCGCAGCCTGACTGTCGCAGCCATGGGTGGAAGATGGTCGAAGCATTGGCGACCTTCTATAGTAACAGAGTATACCGTCCTGGTGGTTCCTTTTCCAAAGTCGACGAAAAGAGTTGTTCTATGTTGTCTCGGGACGGATGTTTTCCTTCTATGTTTTAACAATTTCTCTATGTCATCCGCATGGTGGCAGGGGGTGTCTTTGGATGGAGGGAAGGGTGGTGAGTTCCCGAGTTGAATGGATTTCATCGCACGACGTAAGCTCGTAAGCTAGCTGCTTGCTAGGTTAGGGTGGCACGGTTAGATAACCATTTGGGTCGGAGAATCGTTTGGGACACCCATCCACTGCAGAATACGGCCAATGTATAACTATATATACCTAGGGTCTGTCCGAACTTACCTGTAGCAGTCAGTAACCAAGCAAATCATCATTTTTGGACAAGGCCTGCAACCTAACCATAATCATCCACAGCTAACAACTCCCCCCCCCCTTTCACGGCACCGTTGTGGGGGCCAGGTGGAGGAGCTCAATGTACATAGCGATGTTTAAAATGGTTACGACCCGGTCATTGTGCATCATTGTGGGTGTGAAGACTCCTCCGGTTCGGGCGAGGTCGGATGACCCGCCTCTCGGGCCAGTCGCGGGGAAACCCCTCGACGGGGTGATTCGTCGAGACCCCTTCGAGACCCGCTCCACCCCTACGGAGCAATAAATGACATGAGACACCCTGCAAAGGGGGGCCGTGGTTTTGGGGTATTTTCCCCAAGAACCCTCCACGATCTCAACGAGTAAGCAAATTCGGCCACCCCTTTCATACGAAAAGGGGGGCGCCTGGTATACCTGCACAGTATAGCAAAACGTTCTCAGGGACCTCCATGGAACCTGCAGAACCCGGTCGAACTGGTCGCCCTGGTCGAACTGGCGCCCCGGTGACCGGAAGAGCAACGAGACGAGACGCCAGGACACGGGGCACTTGACGGCCTTCTACCAGGCGGAGCTCAAGAAGGCCGGGGCTCAACGTTGGTTCAAGTGGAACGTCTACAGGAAACCCAAAGGAATTCAAAGGACATTGGGGGTTGGAAACCAGGGTTTCCTGATGTTCCTCAAATCCAACTCATTGGCTGGGAGATCTTGGAAATCCGGCGGAGATCCGACCCACGGATTCGACCCACGGATTCGACCAACGGATTCGACCTCCGGGGTGGGTGGAGTTGTTGGGGGCCTGAACCAGTTTGGGGCAGGCTGGCAGGCTGCAGACTGATTTGGAGGGGGACGGGGCAGAGTTTTGGGAAAGCTGAAGGAAAGTGAAGCTTCAAGTTCTACAGGCTCAAGGATTCCTTCTGAAGAATGGAAAGACTTGGATAGACTTGGTATGCCCCTCAGGACAAATTGGTGTGCACACGGAAAGCCTTTTGAAGAATTGTCCATGTGACTGGCTGGGGAGGCATGCATTTAATATGAATTTGATATACATTAATAGTATACCAGGACCCTCCGACAGGTCACCAATGGTTCGACCTGAGACAGGGTCCAACAACCCTCAACTAACAGCCTGGCCAGGAGGGTGCTGGTATGGAATGTTTACCTGCCAGCATCTTCAGTACGTGACCTTTTTTTGGAGGTCCCATCCGGTGACCTTTTCCAGGCCTGTTTGTGACCAACTTGACAGTGGGGGATCAAGTTAGGTCACTTGAAGAACCAGGTCAATCCCTTCTCCCACAGTTGGAAGATCCACCCTAAAAGTCCAAAGACTATATTTTGACCGACTGAAGTAAAGGATAGTAGCAGAGACGGGTCACCTAAAGACCATTCTTTTTATAGTCTTTGACTCCCAGGGTCCAGGTATATTGTAATGGAGTGTTTGGGATCTATTGAACCACATCTCTGCAGCACGACCGGTGGACGATGGACATCGAAAGAGACCGGTGGGACACTGAGGACGCTGTGTTCACGAGTTGTGGAAGGGTGGAAGGGGGGTGTTGAAGTGAAGGTCAGTTTGCATCCGTGAAGAAGTGCCCGATGGAGGGAGGAAGGAAGGATCCAGGAAGGCGTTGAGTTCTGCATGTTCTAGGTCTGTAGAAACATCATTCTGGAACAGAATATTGATGGGGGGGGTGGCCAATACGTGGAAGCTGAACAGAAAGTTCGAGAAGCCTAGCACGACATATGAACATATGTGAAAGCTGAAAGCTGAGCTCTTACTGGCCTAGCTTAGAGCAGTGAAGGAAGGAACCTCAAAAGGTTTGTGAAACTGCCATTCGCTCGTTTCTGCAGAAGATAGCAGAAGGATGTGAAACATGCTTTGAGAGCGCCTGTGCACGACTTTGAACGAAGTAGAATGCAATGAATGTGGCTTGGAACCAGGAAGGTTGGAATGGGTCTACAAGTCATGGAAAAGAGTGTAATCACCCTGCGAGTCAAAGACTATACAAAGAATGGTCTTTATGGGATCTGAAAGGGAATTTCCTTTTACTTGACTGAGGGAAAGTATAGGCTTTGGACTTCCAGGGATTAGACAACTTTTTGGACTGCTGTCCTTTTGGGAGAGCCAGTTTGAGATGTGGGACGACCTTCCATCAGCACAGATTTTAAGAGAATGTGTCCAGTGATTCCATCCACAACAATTTGCCGCAAAAAAACACACATCCACAGGAAGTGACAATGAAGTGTGACCTCGTTTTTCGTTTTTATGTCCAAACCGCGCCTAACCACCAAGCAAACCAGCAATGAACCCCACCTCACAACTTCTGGCCCAAATGCCACTTGTGGCAAAGCCTCAGTTGAACAGAAACATCATGTGATTTGAGCCAAGGTAGAACCCCAGGCCCTGGGTTTAAACATACATGCACTCTGTAGTTTAAACATGCGTTTAACCCGGGCCTTAGTTTAAACAGTTTAACCCAGAAGGCTGCCCAACCCTGTCCCCTGCGAGTCGTGGTCTTGCGGGGTCTTCGTGTTGCGGGGTCTTCGGGATGTCTTCGTGAGGCGTACTTCACCAAAGTGACGGATTTGATGAAGAAGTATGCGGGCTTGTAGGTGGCTTTTTTTTTGCCAGTAGGCCCGGCGCCTTTTTGAGGGTTTAAGGTGACCAGCGAGGTGCCCGAAAGAGTGTCTGGTAGTGCTGAAATTGGAATCAAGTGAGGCATAGGTCCCTGCAGAGGTTAAGTGACCTGAACTAGGACCCCACAGGAGTACCTATAGGATAGTCGAACTAGGGTTCTGACCCACCTCTGCTGGTCTTTCAGGATGAGATATCTTCACTGTTCGATCAAAGCGAACATGGTCATCTCGTTTAGGGATAGATACAAGGCGTACAAGGAATCCACTTTGAGGCAAAATCAGGAGTTCACCCCTATGGGTTGATTGTTCCATGGCACTCCGACCCCAGCCTGGGGAAGTGATCCAAGTCGGTGTCGAATTGAAGTGGTTTTTGAGGGAGTGGGTGCAGAGCTAGGCGATCATACTTATACCGGCCAAGGGTAATGCATGCTTAGAATTTTGGCACCACCAAAATAGAGGAAATTCCTGCTTCACCTAACGACCATTTTGATTTTGGAGATAGTCTTGGACTCCCACGGCAACAACATCATTTGTCACCCCTTGATTATCTAGGCTGCCTATAGCAGGTTGATCGGTGTGCCAAACCCGAAACAACTGGTTGTGTTTCATGGTCACGACTGGCCTTTCTTGAGGACTCTTACTTGAAGCTAACTGGCTGGAGAACGGCACACGTGCCGCTATTCAAGGGGAGAACAACGCCCGTGGGTGAGAGCGGCCTTTTTAGACACATGTGAGGGGCACATGGGGTGACATGGATATGGTGAAGAACAAGAATGGGGTGACCCTGATCCACCTGGTACCTCGACTCGTGGTAAAGGCAAACTCTACGAGAGACAAATGCTAGAATAGCTCCACGCCCAGGTGTAGCGCAAGAAAACAACATCATAATTTGGAGATGTTTGGCCATGTGTTCCTTGGAAGAAAAACCGCTACCAGGCCACCTTAGGGGGTTTCTATTGATAGCTCCTTACAGGTTAAGGGGTGTCCATCAACCACCCCTTGTGGGTCCTGGTATGATTTGTTTCCTGTGACGAATCAGTCTCCCAAACCACCAAACGCACCTGACTTGGGCCTTTTTGAGTCGAGTGAAAGAAACAATACCTTGGCGGCTGAACTCGGCTGGGCGACTGAATCTGTTGAGATAAAGATTTCTTCGATGCGCGGCCACGGCGGGAGCCCCAAAAAGGAGCCTTCGCAGCTGGTTTGGAGCACTGCACTGAGTGGTTGGCGCTCGACCCTCCAGCACCGGACCTCGCTTCATCCGCGCGCGCGCGCGCGCGCACGTCTCGTGAACGTCACGTTCCACGTCAGAGAAGAACAGGGCCCTTGCCCGCGGACGGATCCCCCCTGCCTGGTCCAGCATGGTGCGGGGCGCTTTCCCCGCAAGGCCTCGGTCCTCGTGGCTCATGTGGCTCTGGGGCTCCCCCCCCCAGACCCTGCAACGACCGAGTCGCGCTCGGCGGCGGACGGAGCGAGAAAAGCACGGGCGACCGAGTCGCATGGGCCGAAGCGGCGTGGCGTGGCGTGGCTGCTTTTGGGTGCCGGCTTGGCGTTCGGATGCACTGGAGCTGTGATTTCTGAATTCTCTCGGTGTTCGGTGAAAGAATCGACGGCTTCAGATGGCTCCAAGGTTGCCCATTTCCTGGGCTGGCAAAGAACCCTCACTGTCACACCCCGAAAGGAACCACGGGGGTTCCGTGTACACACGGTCGAGGTGCCAAAATTCGCGTCGAAGCAAGCCACGTGTGTCGATCCAAATGGCCTTTCTTCCAGGTCTTTCTGGACCTGATTGCACTAGAACTTCATGCAACATCGGTACGCAATGAGGTCAAGAAGTCAAGGACCAGGGCTTTTGGCTTCCTTGGACTGGTGTGGCCATGTGTGGCCACTCCACAGGATGCTTTCTGCTCTCACGGCTCTTAGATGCTGTCCATTGTCCATCGCCTAAAATTCAAGGCTTGCTGGTCCCATCTGGCCTGTCTTGTGGGTGACAGCTGTCTCCTGGTCCCCTACCCCACGACGCGTGGTCTCCTGGGTCATGGACTCATCTATCTGCCGCGAAGTGCTGCTGACCTTGCTGCGGCTTTATATGGCCAGTCCAATTTGAATTCACTCGCGAACAGCCAGCAGCGGCAGCATGGATTCTCAGGTTGCTTTAACCAGGTCCACGAGCTGGCTTTGATGGGTCCAAAGTTCTGATGCTGAGGGTGGTCAAAACGAGGAACTTGCCATGCCATTCCTCTGAGTTTGGAAGTCCAGGTCGGCTACACCAGGTCGTAAAGGGGAGTGTTGGAAATCAGCTGATACGACATCGGACTATTTAAAGAAATGGCCTGAAACAGACTCTCAGGGCTTTGTTTGCGTTTGTAGCTGCTCCTTGCCGCGCGGCCGCACGGCGCCAAGCGCCCACCCGGTGTGAAACCCTCCTCCGTGAGGCTCGTGGCAGGCAGAATGAACTCACGTTGTGCCGTAAACATATGTAAACATAAAGAACAATGAAAAGCCTGCCTTATGATATACAGAGGTCGTTCAATTCAACTTCGGGGGGTTGTTAGGGGATGTTACAGGGATTGAGGGGAAAAGATATGAAAAGATCCATTTGGTCGTTTTTTGTTCACCAGGTCGTTCGCTTGGTTGGTTGGAGGCGACGGGAGCTACAACAAAGAGGGAAAGTGAACCAAGTGTCGCAGGTGCTTTTGAGTTTCACATGCTCGATGTTGGAGGTGAATTTGGGCAATGCGCTTGACTTTTTGGTAGACAAGCTTTTGGCAGACAAACCAAGGTCATGAAAGTTCCTCGTAAATGTTTGTTCGAAGTTTTTCGCAACAATTTTTACTCTTAATTTCGAGGCCAGTCTTTGTTCACAACCTCGCTGGCACTTCCACGTGATTAGCTTCAAACACGTCTACGAGACAAGTTGTGCAATCTGTCTGTGCATGTTTTCGCGAAATTAAAACGCTGGTCACTGCCCGCAAAATCCGGCAAAACTCTGCCGCGAAAACTTTTGCGAAGGTTGAATCTGATTATTTGCCCAACAGCGAAACATTCAGCCACACTGACGGCTTCGGAGCAGAGTTCCTGAACAAATTTCCGAGGTTCTGGAACAGGAGCAGGTCCAAGAGTTGGTTCCGGAACACGTTCCGGAGCAGGTTCTGCAACCGTTTTGCCGGTCTTTCTGACATTCTGTTTCTGACATTGTCATGGCGCAGCGTTGGCATGTCATCATGTCAAGCTGGGACAGCATCATGTTGAAATGTGGCTTTGCATGCGGTTGCTACGCTTTGCATGGTGCGCCGACAGTGAACATCGTGAACCATTTTGCATCGTTTTGTCGTTCTTGTCACGTCCACGTCCAAGCCTGATGTCATGTGGACGTGCTGTGTTTGGGGTGTTGTATGGTGTTGTTACATTGTTACGCTGACAGGGTGTCGTGGCGACGCTGCGGACATGTGACATATTCTCAATACAGGCTGGCGCACTGACGTGGTGCATGCAACGAAATATTGGTATGTGATGTTACCGCCGCTCATGTCCTGCTTCCTACGTTTACTTTCTAATTTCGATCATGTCAGGGGCCGACAGGCCATGACAACAGGCTGACGCAGCAGCCACAAAAAACTGGCCCACTTTGCGGGTAGTTGTACCAGCAAAGCCACTGGCGATGTTATGCTTGCACATAGAAGATCATATAAGTGTCGGACAAAACCTAGTGCGCACTAAAGTCGTCACAGGGTGGTCTTCGGATTGGACACCTGTATCAAAACTGCGTAGCTGACGGGGGCCGACCCGTCTACGGATGCCCTTTCGATGTTCCAACCACTAAGGAAGCACGCTGCCAGCATACATTTGAGCATGGTCTAAAACTTTTTTGCATATGTAAGTAAGGCCTGCTCATAAGAGCAGTGTGCGTAAGCAAACCTGTGAGTTGCGTAAAGCCGTGTAAAGCTTATGGTGACACTTCAGTGTGCGTAAGCAGTGCGTAAACATATTGTGTTGCATCTTTGTAGTAGATGTTTTTTCGGTGCTGCTACCATTGTGCTTTATTCAGTGTCAGCCTCCAGAACTAGACACTTGGCAATAACCAGAGCTTGGAGTGAGTGACTTTGCATCTCTGTGGCCGTGAGAGGCTTTCCTGCGATTAGCAAATATATTTGGTTTTTCCATCTCGAGCTTATTGCGTTGAATGTTTTTTTTGGCCGGAAAGTACACGAACATGCGCGTTAGCGGCGCGTAAGCTGTGCGTAAACAAAACTTTCGCTCGTGCATCCTAGTCCACGATGCCGCCAGCATATGGCACAGAAGAAACATTGGCAATTGGTCGGGATGTTGTGTTCACATGGGGGCCCCTTTGGCGCACACACACACACACACACCGCTGGTGAATGAAAGAAACATCGATCAAACAAGTATTGGCACCAAATTGTGGGAGGTGTCACTAGCGCTGCACCATCTTTAGCTGCCTCCGAAAAAGTTGAGCCATTGCTGTCTGAACTTCGACTACCCAAGCAATAAAACGAAAAATAACGATTAAATGCAATAGTCGGGGGTGTGAACGACCCTGGTGTAGACACGGGTTGCCATCTATAAACTGCGGATAGCTGCAGTGATCAAAATTTTTGACCAACGTAGCAAACCTTTATGAAGTGCATGTGCAGCACTACAAAATGCCTATCCAAACAAACTCATTCACACGCCAGCCTTCCCTGCTATAAAATTCGGAGTACAAGCAACACCACATAGCCACATTTGTGCCCATACGCGTGCTGGACAAAAACCCGTATGTAGTCTCAAGACATGGCCTAAAATGTGCAGGTTTGCAGGGTTGGGCTGCGCTTCAAACTTTCTTGGTGGCATCAAATGCGCTACAGTTTGGCACGCCAACAATGAGGCCGCGAATCAACTGCAATAATGGTTGCGCAAATTGTGGGAAGGCTGCCTTTCCATGAGCGCAAACATGCTCAATGTGGGCATCGGTCGGCGTCGGTTGGGGCATTGGGAAGGGACTGCGGTGGGAAAACTACACGGCCGTAGGCAGCTCAAATTTCAATCTGAAAAAAGCAACATACCAAGCGTCGCGCCAGCTGCACATGAGCGTGGACCAAAAAGGTCTGAATAAAAACCTGCTCGTAACGGTCTGCTTACGCTATTGCTTACGCTGCACTTACGCGACCACAGTTTTTGTTTACGCGCCAGATTTCCTCTATAAGAGCTTACGCTTTGCTTATGCTTAACAGGAGGTCATGCCTGAATTTGCATTTCCGCACAGCCGCAGTTTACGCACCAAACTTTCCTGCAAGGAATCTGAGTGAGAAGACTCAGACGATGAACTTGATGAAATTGATGAAGACGTTTCATCTTCAGCAGTTTTTTGTGCTGCCAGTTGCCTGCGCCTTTTGGCAGCTTGATGCAGCTTGTCTGCTTAAGGCCCTTGCCTTTGAAGGTGACATGGCCTGTGTGTCGCTTCTGTTTGTCAACATCCTCAGTGTGTAATTTTCCATTCAACGTTTCAGTGGGCGAATAAGTGCACGTTACATAGCCCGGCGTGCGACTTGTTGAGCCAGCGGAGAATTTTTTTAAATTAATTGAAATTGGTGGAGTAAAGTTGACAGCCCCCAAAAATTTCCAGTCCCTTGACGACATTGAAGGAGGAGAGCGTCTTGACTCTCCACCAATTCAGTTCGAACCATCGGAATGAAGGTTTGCGAAGCACCGAGGTACTTGTAGCAGATGGCGGAACAGCGTTCCCAGAGTTTACCCCGGAACGAAACTTAAAGTCTCGTGTGCCAATTCTAGCGTGGTTCCTGAGGACATTGCACGACTACGACCCACAGCCCTGTACTTGCGAAATTGCACGTGACAAACCCAACAAATCACTCAGTTGGCGTATGAGCGATTCCTTGGCCAAAACATGCCGCCCCCTCACACACAAGAAGCAAACAAAAAAAAACATTCCAGAGCCTTCGTTTGAGTGCTGGCAGGTTGAGGCGACCAGCGTGACCCTAATAAACGCAAATTAGAGCCCTGATATGCCCTGATGGGAAACACGGCACCAGGTTTCCATCCAATCATCCAACACCCGGCAGTCAAATAGTAGCGGACATCCCCACCGCCTTTGGTAGCAGATTCCGGCATCAAACCACGGGAAATGCGCAGATAGATGACGATAGATGTATATAGATGTAAAGATGGCGGTGCTTGCGGGCGGGCTGAGCATGGCTACAGAGAGCTGCAGTGGACCTTCACGATGGCAAATTTGACGTTGTGAATTTACTGCAGCCCGTGATCATTTTTGATATGACCTTCGCCATGGGTGAGAAAACAACAAACGGTTCAGTACACGTATATAGTCACGTCTATCATGTACGGGGTGCCTTCATTCTTGATTGGGTGAATTCGCCGCGACCATTGATGCTGGCAGTTGGACGCTGGTAGGACACGCAGGAACAAAAACCTCACATCGCCCTCAGCCACCTTAGCCCACAAGTAGAGGTCATCGCCGTGTGGCGTGAATATGAAAACCATACTAAACCTTTACGGTTTCACAACGCTGAGGAAAACAAACAAGACCGACACATGCAACTTCTCAGCCAATTGAAACGATACGACCTCGCTGTTTACCACGTGGGCAGGGTCCGAAAGAGCCGCTCCACACACCGCAGCGCGCCCGCGGGGCCAAACCGCCGGGCCAGCGGCCGAAGCGGCGGCTGCCCAGCGGCGCCATGATGATGGAAACGTCTCCATCGTCCTCGCGGTCCAGCACCCACCTGCGGCCCAAGAGAGCGCCCACCCTTGGGAACCTCGCGAACGTGGCCAATTTGAGCCGCCCAGCTGTGACATCAGAGCGGACACTTTGGGGAGGCGCCTTTTGAGTTCCAAAAGCGTACTCCTGAAAAATGGGGTGGGGGATGGTGGGGGTGTTGGAGAATAACGCTGTGGATGTGGTTCAAACAAATTCACATTACGTATTACTTATTATTTTACATGATTTTAAATTCTAAACGGTTCAAGAAGATTCACTTTCATATTCGTACACTTGAATCCCGGCATTTGGCCCCCCCCGTCAATTTTTCTGTTTGCAGCAGGAATCCAAAACTCAAAGACGGATCGTTGATGGCAACTCGAAGGTGTTGCTTTCCATTTCTTGTGAGCCACCGTTGTCCCCCCCAAGTACGGCATTCAGCTGAGACCACACGACGTGCCAAGTGCAGGCTGCTAAGCAGGTTAGTCATGTTGCTTGTTAGCTGCAACATTCCCTATACACCCTGGAAGACTAACATGGAACCTGACAACCCCTGGTTGGTAGAGGTAAATAGTCTTCCATGGGACCATTGTCAGGGGTCTATGTTAGTTTTCGGAAGTGTAAATGTCAACGTGCGGTTAATTGTTTCAGTGTCGGGGGTGGAAGGCGACTATGACGTTTCCACAGGGACATGGCCCCCCCAATCATGTATAAAAATTTGTTTGTTGTTCCCAACCAATGCACCTTTATCCCGTGTGGTTGGGGAAGCATCACGAACTTCACCATGCAGGTCGCGAGTGAAACCACCGTCCGGGGCGTCGTTTCACTTCACCTCAGATCGCCGCCCCAAGGCGTCATACCGGCTTCCGAGCCACGGACCAGCCGCAGAGCATACTTTGAGGACCACTTGGACCAGAGTTTGGCACACCTCAAGGTGCGAAGTGCGAAAACACGCTTTTCGTTGTTTGGTTTGTGATGGTTTGTGTGTGTGTGTGTGTGTGCAGTTTTTTGTTTTCGTCATGTTTCGTCAGTGTTTAGGCAAGCATTGGAGCCATGCCATAAACCCAGTGGCTTGTAATGACCGAGGGTTTGGTCATAAGAGCCGGGTGCATAAGGAGTACACTGCAGTGCGCAAGGTTGCATAATTTTGCGTTTTTTTTGGTCTGTTGTTTTGCAGTTTGCATTTGATGTGAGAAAAGTTTTGGTCGATGAGGTTTGTTGTGTTTACTGGTACTCGGTCTTCGTTTTTCTGGTGCGAAGACGGAAACAGGAACCTCACAAAGATCGAGGAGAGCCAGGGCATTTTCCGCGTAAGGCGTGCGAAAACTCCGCGTAGGCAGCGCGTAAGCCTCATGTCCGTCCATGAGTAGCCCACATGCTTCCCAAACCCAAAGCCTTTTGCCAACTGCAGTGGCCCGAAAATATGCGAAATATGCACTTCAACAAAATTTCCGCTCTGCTCGCATGCCGGCACCACAGAGGTCCTGGCGGTGTCCACGAGGCTTGGTTTTGCACTGTTGTGTCTAGTTTGTTGCGCACCGTGCGGCCAAATTTTGTTTGTGATGTCGCAGTGCCATCGGTTTCGCGCGGCCTTCGTGGAAAGTGCGTTTGCGTGAGTCCGTGCCACTTGGGAAAGAAAGCATGCTTCTGCAAGTGGTGCTAAGAGCGCGCCGCGTAAGCATGCGGATTCGCAAAAAACATTGCGAAGTCTGGCTGCGTAAGGTGGCATAAGTGCCCACTTCCCCCCACATGCCGCGTCAGAACACCGGTGGAACGCGTAAGAAAAACCTATGTGTTGCGTAGGCACCGTGTGGGCCCCATGCTTGGTCCCTTCAGATCCCTTGAGCACATGCGCTACAGGAGGCCCTGCCGAAAACATTTGAAATGGATGAACGACTGGATGAACCGTTTGGTCTGCACTCACTATGCTGCTGTAGGAACAGCAACTGGAAATTCAATGAAACATCATTGTTGCGGGGTTTTATTTTCGCCAGATTGAGGACGAAAATGGAACCTTTTGGAATGCCCCTGCCCCATGAGCTGCGCTGGAAAGTTTGATAGCTCCGTATAGTTCCCTATGTCGTATAGTGCCGAACTTTGCATGAAAAAAGGACACCAAGTGGGATACCATGTTTTGTTGTTGTTTTTTTATCTGTTTTTACAATAATATGTTTTTTCCTGGATCATGTCCTCCTTGGTCTCCGACCACGGTGTCATTTCCCCGACTGCATGGATTCTGTAGGCCTCGATGGGTCCGTCGGTCGGAGCCGTTTTCTGTCTCTCCGAGCCCGGGGATCTCGGTGTCGTCCGAGTTCCGCGGGGTGAACAGGAACAAGTCCTACGAGCGCATGACCGGGAGCTGGGCTCCGCTTCCAGTTCCTGGGCGGTTCTACACGAGGGAGTGGGAGTGGGAGTGACTGGGTGCGGGTGGGACCCTGTATGGGGTGCGTTTGGAAGGAATTGCATTTGAAAAAAATTATGTAAGGAAGACGTGGCAAGGCGCGAGCCTTGGAGGCTATACCCATGCATGTGGGTCCAGGGTTTATTGGTCCAGTGGGGGAAATGTTGGTCAGAAGATGACATAGGCTATGCTGGGAGTAGTTGCCCTCACCAAGAAAATCATGAGTCGAACACATGGGAACAGCTACCAGCTGTCAAGACCAGGCAGTATCATGCAAGACTACTGAGAATGCTTTGGCAACATGCCACATGCGGGTCAACGTTCCCAAAAAACTACTAACACCCCACTTCCAACTCTTCACCACTCGTCCCATGCCTCGTCCCATGCCTCGTCCCATGCCTCTCCGCATCCGCCGAACCGCGTCGACGGTGGCTACCGTTGATCCCCCCAGGCGCGCGGAGAGGGAACCGCGACTCCCAGCGCGAGGCGGTCTTCTTCCCGTGCCTTGGAGCTGGGGCCGATCTCCCGAGCTCGGTGGCGAAACGGAGCTCCGAACCGGATGGAAATCCGTTCGTTCTCCTCGGAGGGTTGAGAGACCGTTGAGTCGAGCCAAGACGAGCCGTGACGATGGATCAAGCATCTGGGAAAGATCCGGGGAGGTGTGGTGATGGTGGAAGTCAAAGACCATTCTCAAAATTGTTGATCTGTTTTTGTCGCGTAAAACCCTTAGTACAACAATGGTGGTTCGGTAAAGGCCGTTAAAACATATTAAAACAATGGTGGTTCGACTTCTATGGGTGATGGTGGAGCGTTGTCAGTCGTTTCAGCTAAGGATTGCAGTCCTGGCTGTGAAGCAGAGGTCCCCAACCAGCAACCTTTGCAAATCATGTTGCGATGATTCAGGGGACAGACTTTCAGGTGCCTGTGATAGACTTTCAGGTGCCTGTGACCAAACATGCCCGGATTACATTTTTTGGGGGTGGGGTAGTTGAATGTCACTTTAAGTTCAATCGCAAGAACAGGTTTTTTTGTTGGCACAAGTGTTCCAATATGCCATCCTAGGAACCAGACAACAATGACAACATAGAACACTTCCGGGACTCCTTCGCGTCCGTCCAGCGGGGCCATCGCCGCATGCGCCGAGGACGAACCTCCCGACCTCGCCGACGCTGCAGCCGGACCCGCCCTTCTGCGCGGTCGACATTCCCGAGTTCACTGACGGCTCGGACGGCAGCAGGAGCCGCGGGCGCGAACGCGGGGCGAGGCACTGGGGCCGGTCAGAGTCGGTGGGGGGGAACGAAAGAAGGGGAAGGATCCAAGGTGATGCAAGGTGAAGTCTGTTGGAAGCATACTGCGAGATGGTCGAGTTGGACTTGACATGTTGGACTTGACATGGCCAGATATTGGACTTGACATGGCCAGATGCCACCTTTTGTCAATGAAAACCAGACTTGTGCTGGCAAGGGGGTTGTAAAGGTGGCGAGTGCCATCTACCCCTATTTCTCACCTGTTAAGCAGCATCATTCTGCAAAAAATACCACCTACTTGTGAATTGAGAGGCCAATTGCTTCAGGATTCTTCAAGAACCTGCGAAACGAAACGCTGAAATGCGGTTGATTAGAGAGATTCTGAAGGTTTGTTCAGTTCATCCTTACTGCAATTAGCTGCAATTCATTACTAGGCTTCGAAGCACCAGGCCGGCTATAACGCGTTTTGCCGAACAACCAGGGCTATGGGCTATAGCTTCGTTTTTCCGGGGGAGGCGCCCGGGCGGATCCGCTCCCGCCTGGCCGCCAGTGGTTTCCTATTGGCATGGTTCAGCCGGCCGAGGGTGAAGATCAATGAACTTGAGTCGAAGAGGGTTGAGTATTGTATACGTCTGCGTGTATCAACGTGGCCACGCAATTGGATGCATTGGGTGGATTCGGTTCATGTAGGCCTCCAAAAAATGATAAAGAAAGATCGAGCGGCCGGAGCCGTCCTTGCAATCGCCTCACGGGGAAAGACCAAAACGAACAGACAAACCCTCCACGCCCTCCCACGGCCGAGGCGACCGATGTGTTGTTGTTGTTGTTAACCGTTTTTGTTGTTGTTGTTGTTGGTAGAGACAAAAGCAACTGCCCAACATAGTTGTCACATGTTGCAAGTCAGGGATTTCAAAGGGGCACTGTTGGGGATAGGGTCGAAGGTTTGGAGAGATGTTAGTAGCTGGACTTCTTGTCGTTGTGGTACTCAAGTCTTGGTTGGTCTGTTTCTTGATTTTTGATGTTTTTGGGATGTTGTTCTGGAGGGGGGGGGTCAAAAAACAACAACGGGGCTGCAGATTTTGTTTCTAGGGGGTACAGACAACAACATCTTCTGAGGGGGGGGTTCAAGAAAACAACAACGGGGCTGCAGTTTTTGCCTTTAGGATGTGGTAGAGGGAGGTTCTAAGTAGAAGTTTTATACAGAGGCTTAGCTGACCGGACTACCACTACTGCTGCTGCTGCTACTGCTATTAGTACTATTACTACTCCTCCTCCTCCTGCTACTACTACTACTACTACTGCTCCTACTCCCACTCCTACTCCTACTCCTACTCCTACGACCACTACAACAACGACTGCTACTAGTACTAGTACCACTAGTACTAGCAATAGTACAAGCACTGCCACTACTGGTAAGAGTACATGTTGGCTGGTAGGGGGGGTCAAAATAACAACGGCGGGGTTGCAGATTTTGGTTCCACCCCCTTGTAGAGACAAAGGAACAAGATATCTTGTAACGGGGCTGCAGTTTTTGTTTGTACTTTGTTGTTGTTGTTGTCCCGGCCACCCGGACCAACAGAGGTTGAAGAACCCTATAGGCTATCCCAATTTGCCAGGTGACGGGTCCTATAAACGGTCACTGAACCTCTCTTGGGAGGACGGTGAGTGCGACCTCCAGTCGGAGTCACAGGAACGAGAGGAAAGGAACGGTCGGGCCGGCCCAGAGCGAGCGGATGTGGCGAGGTGCTTAGGGCTCAGGCCTCGGGTTCTGTGCAGAGGCATCATCAGAAGGAAAGCTGGGGGAACACATTGAGGATATTGAGGCGGTAGTTCCGGCAGTTCTTCCGGCAGTCGATGGCTACTGCGGAATCTGTTTTGGTCACTGGCCCAGTCACTGGCCGTTGGAGGTTTGTTATTGTTTTGCCACGTCCGTGAGGGGTTTTCCCAGCACTCAAAGTCACCGACATGGGAATGGATGGCAGGCAACGTCAAGTCTCGTTCCTTTACACGCAGAGGGCTTCTATTTCCACGCCAGTTGGAGGGTTTCATCGCTGGCACCGGCGCCCCGAGAAGGCCTTTAGATCCTTTGGACGGGGAACCAGGCCGAAGTGGAGCGCCTTGGACCCCCAAGAATGGGATCGATAGCGCATGATAGATCATAACGCACGATCCCTCGGCAACGCCCAGCATGTCACGCGATGGTTGGAAAACTTGATCAAACAGTGGCATGGGAGCTGACACTCTTCTCAAATGTTGATGTTTGAAGTTTGAAGGGGTCGAGGCTACGAAAAGGCTTGGGGCACTTTGCTTGGTGGCACCAGTTTGTCCTGTAACGTAGCTGATCCCAACGACCCTTCCCACTTGTAGGGCAAGTCACGGTCACGGTGAGTCTGTATTTATTTGCGGGGGGCTTGGCATAAGGATTATTTTGGAGTGCTCTTCAATTAGCCTCCCAGACATTTCCAGAAAGGATTAAACTACATTCCAGGAACATTTTGGGTTCACAGTTGTTACTTTAAGGTGCTGAAGGAGGGAGGAGTTGAACGCCTCTGCCACGCCCAGAACCAGTCTGCGCTGTCGATGACCTTGATCGAGAATGGTCTAGAGGAGGTGGGCTCTGGCCGGGCGGACCTGCTTGTTTTTTGGTGGGTTGAGTGTGCGTCATTACCCGGGTTTCGCTTAGGGTGATTGTTACTTTCCTTATGGGTGAATCCATGTGAACCCCCTTCATCTTCCATGTCCTTCCCATTAGTCATATCATTCTTGTCGGCTGGGTGGGCTTCTCTCTTTTCTCGTGACTCGCCTAAGACACTTGATGACGTGTGCCTGCTCCCCAGAAGTCCCAAGACCTTTCTTTGGCACTGACGAGGTGGGGGACAATTCCAGTTCGTTTCATCTAAACAATCTAAACCAGCATCTTCCAACAGGTCACCAAGTTGAGACCTGTTAGGGCCCTTCCCAACCCTCTACAGCAAACCGGTCGGAGGATGCTGGAAGACTCAGAAGTCCACCAGACTCCCAACTTCAGTTCTTGCGATGTAAGGGTGGCAGGCTGAAAAGCTTGAGGAGTTGCCGTGCAAAAACACCTGGATCTTCCCAGTGACCTTTTGATCCCCTGGTTCGAGGTCACTTAGGCTTGTAAAAGGTCACTTAGGGACTCCAAAAAGGTCACTGGGAAGGTCCTGGCAGATGTGATTTTCTCGGGAGCGTCCGACCGGTTCGAGAAGTTGGTGAAAGATGATGTTTTGGGAGGCTCGCCCCACTAAGGTGGGGGCCGGGGGGTTGTAGAAGACTGAATCGAGCATGTGGTCCAAGTAGGCTGTACTGAGAATGGGGCATATGCCGGTGCAAAGGTGATCCAATGTACATGTGAAATGGAATTATCGTCACCTGGGGTGCCCAACTGGGATAGTCGAACTAGGGTCCTTCCACCTCTGCTGGTTGTACTGGAATCAACGGTCTATCGAATCATCAGCAAGTTCGATCTGCCGTTGGACGATCGGACGGATTGAAACGAAAATGATCGCGGATAGAAAGCTTCAGTGGGGGTCGAATGCACATCGAATTCCACTGGGCTTGGTGGACCTCTATAGAGCCCTTTATTGTAATATTCTAGTCCCAGATGAGATGGGACGTACGTAAAATGTATGTCGTCAACCACCAGTCCTATCTCTTTTGAGCCTAGTATATGATTTTCGATGTTGCGTGATCTTCGTTACGCACTTGTCATCAGGTTTCTCATGTGTTGTTGAGTGATCTTGGATGATCTTGGTCTCGTCCTGGGCAGCACCAATCTACTGTTTTTGCCCCGGTTTTTGTCTGGCGACTTCGGCCACCTCGGTTGGGGGAGCGGAGATAAAACGGCCTCGAGGCCATTGGGGCCATGGCTGATTCGATCCATGAGATGCCTAGAATGGCCTCAATCTATCCCATACCAGGACCCACTGTCGGGCTGGTTTGCTGGACACCCCTGAACCATCCTGAACCTCTAAAGGCCTATCAATAGAAACCCCTTAGGGTGTCCTGGTACCATCCATGTATGGCATAAGGTAAATCGTCCCATAGAGTCTCTGGGCGCTCGCCGAAGTGAGTCATCAGTACTAGTGGTGTTCTTTTTTGTGGTATATAGCTGATGGTGAGAAGGGTATGTTTTTTGTTCGCTAAACAGCACCTGCTGTTGGAGAGATGGGAATGAAACTCATAGGGGCGCCGCGCGGCGGCCTGCGATCGTTCGGCGTTTTGGGCGGCTTGTGGGGCTTGAGCCTTCACCCGTTTGCCTTCAAAAAGCAATTCAAAGCTAAAACCCTTAGTCCAAACAAGGGTTTGTTCGGATTCCACCTGATTCAAGCATCAAAACAGCAACCAACGGGAATTCCCAATGGTGCTTCGGCAAGGCTGGACGTTTTTCAAGGCTGAGCCCATGAATCCTTGAGGCTTTAGGGCCCGCCCGGGTCCCTCCGCATCGCCTGCGCCAGTTGATGGATGGCCCACGTGTGGGCCGCGTTGGCTCGGGGGAGACGACAGGCGGCGCGGGGCCGGGCGCTGGCGGGGGAGGCGTCGAAGCCTCGGGGCTGCCTGGTGCAGGGGGATTCCGGATGGAGCATGGAAGGCAGATGGTTCTAACTTGAAGCCATTTGAGGTCATGGCTTCTTTTAGCATCCTGGAGAGCTTGAAGTCAAAGAATGGTCATGCCATGACACCCTGTTCCTTTATGTTCTTTTGTTGGATTTCTTGTGGAGCCCTTTTTCTCAGAAGTTTGGTGCATCCATGTGCATCCGTATGTGGAAGCCAGAGGCCAAAGACATGCACTATCACTAGATTCATTGGCCAGGAGTCACAAAGGGGTGGTGAGGGGTGGTGTTTGGTCCCTAAGTGAGTGGATAATGGGCACCCCTAACCTCCATTAAGCACCCCTTTGTGACTGCTGGGGGATTCACTGAAATAGGAATAGTAGCCATGCATGGCCTGGTCATGGACGTGCATGGCCATCTTCGGAATAGTTGCCAAACGGGTGGTGTGTAGATTCACTGCACGGCCTCATGCTCAGCAACATGAAAAGTGGAAAAGCACTGTTGAGTGGAGAAAGATCTCACCCTGGCCCATGCCCTCCATGTGACGGGTTCCTGAGAGTGTACCTGGTATTGTAGCATGTTGGGCAACAAACCTTCAAGGCTTTGTCGCATTCCCCTTCCAGTCGGCGAGACGACAGTCAGTCAGCGAGTCAACGTCAGCACTGGCTTTGAGAGGTTGAGAGACCTGAACTAGGACCCGACCTTAGGTGGTACATATGGGATGGGGTATATATAGGGCCCCTTACAGGGCAGGCAGTTCAACCTCCCTAGGTGGCTGTTCAACCTCGCTAGGTGGCTTTCGGATTCAAGAATCCAAGTCTTTGGACGGCCTTTGACCTTTGACCTGTGCTGGTTGAGGCGTCATTTGCCAGCTTCTGTTGATGTGGCTTGAAATCCACCTGGCCGTAGTGGAACTTCTGTTAAAATAATCCCTAGCTTCAAAGACTAATGATATAAAAGAATTGTTGATGTGGTTCTGTAGTCTAAACTCCTTAGTGCAACAATGGCATCGTTTGGTAGGTATTTCTATGCACTCATTGCACCCTCCCCAATTCCTCCCTGCTAGCGGTCAACAGTAAACGCAATCCAGCAACGGTTCTCCCCCCCTCCACACTCCAGTTCGAGGCGGGGCCTCCATTTGTTCTGTTTGGAGGCACCTCCCTGACCGATGAAGCCTCCGCCGCGATCATTAATTGGGCCGACTTGGTCACCAGAGCACTTCTAGATGCCGACGTCCCCACGCTTCTCAGTGGCAGCAGTTCAGTTTAAGAGAGTCCGGTCATGACTCTTTTGAGACCGGTTTTGGCAGCGCGCGGCGGGTTCTACTGGCTATGGCTATTTTTTTCCTCCGCGCTGTTGTGCAAGCGCATGTTTGTGGTACGCAGAGGTGGTTGAACCTTAACCACTCAGAGAGTGGTTTGATTGGATTTGTTTTGCTTGGATTGGAGATGTTTCTATAGCCTGACTGACCTTCAAGATGTTCAAATTAAATGCTTTGCAGGGTGTCAACATTCAGTGGCTGCCCCGAACTGGTTCTGGTGGGCAATTGAGGCACAGTTTAGGCAAAGTGATGTCCATGATGTGGTCGTCTCTTTGTTTCTTCTTTTGTGATTGATGTTACATATTCAAGGTGGCCTTCTATCTGCTGCTGCTGAAGCGGATCACAACCCTGTTGTTGTTGTTGTTGTCGTTGCAAAACCTGTTGCTGTCTCCGCCATTCCAGACGTCTCTCATCTGGTTCGTCCCCGACATGACGACAGGGGCATCCCCGACTCGATTGTTTGAACTTGTTTGACGACCAAAATTCTCAGTCAACTCGATACCAACCTAATAGTATAGCGATGGCCTCCAACCTAATGGCGAGGCCTCCAACCTGCTAGCGATGGCCTCCAGCAACCTACTAGCGATGGCCTCTAATCAAAATGTGGTCATTTGGTCCTCGTTTGTTCCAACTGAATCCCCAATGATGACCCTGATCGGAGTCATCCGCTTGAGGGATGAATGTGGTCTCAGCTGTGCAGCTTTGGGGTCGCCGAAGAGCGTCGGAGCTACGATTTGGGCCCACCCATACAGACCAAAAGAGGTAGGTTAAGTGACCGGGACCATAGGACCCGGAAAACCGGGACCCAACTGGGATAGTCGAACTAGGGTTCTGACCCACCTCTGGTATAGCCTGTCACCACAACCTGCATGGGAGGGATACAGATCAATCCATCAGAATGGGACACCGGCGGTGCTTCGGCCCTGCTTCGCGCGAAGGCGCCTTCGCGCGGCAGCCTTCGCAGCCGGCGTCCCGAAGTCACGCCCACGCCGTCCTGAGGTTCCACTTGCACACGAGATGGAATGAGACTACCAGCAGTCTCTTGCAGCAAGATCCCCTGAGTGTAAAATCTTGAGAGTAACGGAACTGTCCTTACTCCCCCCCCCAGGTATCGGTATGGATGGTTAAAAGCCTTCTCAGGCTTGTTTTATTTCTTTGTTTTTCTCTCCTGTGGGTTTACTCAAGATTCTACGTGATTTTTGGGAAATGTCCTGGGTTATGCCCTCTTTCATGCCGTGTGCCAGTCAAATGAAGGGCAGACAACGCTTGTGTTGCATGTATTCTATTTTCTCTCCATGCCACAGTTGGGGTGTCCGACACTTGGTACAGTGAGCCTCTGAAAGTGCGAAGTCGAAGGCAAGGTGTGGGGCTTGGCTGGGGTGTGGCCTCCAGGTTTTGTCATGCTTGTTCAACTTCACAAAGAGGCCACCTGCGCATCTCGAGTCCAGCGGATAACTCTACTGGTTTCTTTTGTTAGCCTTGCCAGGCATGAACCAGTAAAGGTCATAATTGCAGGGAGTCAATATCAGTAGGTCAACGGACCCACGACCTGAAATGCTGACTGAATTGTACTATCACCCTATCACCCTCCACCTCTGAGGTTACAAGCCTCGTGAGCTGAAAGATGGCAAGGCGGGGGGCGAGAAGCCGGGAGACGAGGCTTAATGGATGGATGGATGGATGGATGGATGGGATGGGATGGGATGGATGGATGGATGGATGGATGGATGGATGGTTGGACGAATGGATGGAGGTTAAAATCCAAAGAAGACCAGGCCACGTCGAAGTAGCTAGATGACATTTGCATAAAGATGTACGGTGATTTCAGAGTAGATGGTCCAAACTACCAGATTTCTTCAAGATGGAGGCCCTTATAAACAACCTGGTTTGAGGATTGTGCCATCTACTCTGCCACCACTGTGTAAAGGGGGTGTTGTGTTGCTAGCTACGAAGATGTTGCAAAGAATCTCACGTCAGTTAGGTGCACTTTCCAGGCCACTCAACGTAGGGTCTAAAGAAAAGCAGACCACTCGAAGTGGGTAGATGGGTCGATGTTCAAAGTCTCCAGTGAGGTCTCCCTATTGTAATGCACGTCCATGTATACTCAGCGCCATCATAGCCTTTGGACTTCGCCCAGTGCCAGCACCCTGACCCTTCACCCGCCGCAAGCATCCGCAAGAGCGCCATCCTCGGGCGTGGACGATGTTCCACCTTTTTTTCTGGCACGAAAAGCTTTTTGGCCCTAGCCCTCAAAGACCACCATAAAAATTGCTGACCTTACTTGTCGTGTGGTAATCGAACCATTACTTACCATGTCTGCACACGACTTTTGCGACCGAGAGGATCCGGACCAAAATGAGTGGAGTCACTCGGCTTCAGATTCTTGACTCAGCTTCAGCTTGCAGGATGGACCGTGGTTGGGTCTCTTCAACTTGGGGGCTCGTTCCACGTCCTTGGACACCTTGCTGAAGACGCAGCAGGTCAGTGGCTTCAGTGCTCGCCTTAGTAGCGGGAGCCGAGCTGCGTTTCGAGTTGGTGTGGTCAGCAAGAGGCTTCCAACAAGAACCTTGCTTGGTGGAAGATGTTCCAGCGACAGGATGAAGGTTTGTCTTCTCTTTTCTGAGGGCAGTGGGGGGTGGGGCCATGCATGTCCAAGAGCTATGCTGTGCCAGGTTCACAGAAGGAGATATAAACATATAAAGCGGCATGTCCTTGTTTCTGTTGACCCTACCCCATGAACGGTGTGTTTCAGGCTGCTGCAACCAGTGCGGCGTTGGGAAAACAATCTCGTGATCGAATATAGTGGTTGCTCAAGATTCTAGGGGATCGAAAGAGTGGGCAACCCATATGCTTCCACAAGATGGAGATACCATGGAGCCCAACCAAAAACCAGTTCCTGAAATCCAGTGACACTGAGATTCTCTTCCAGCGCCGCGGTGTGCGGGTGGTTAACAGAACCCCCGTGACGAACATGTTGTTCTTTCCAATGTCCATGCTGCTCCCACTTGGCCCTACACGCACCCTCCCCGGCGACCCCTCCACCGAGCGCCCGGCCACTCCGAAGCTCTCAGGTGTAAAGGCTCAGCGCTGCCGCCTGCATCCGAACTCCAATCTTCGACTAGACCCCCGACCGCACGGCCCGCGGCTTGCGCCGCGCGCCAGGTCGCGCACGGCCGCGCGAGGGGAAGCGCGCTCCGCCGCTTTCGGGAGCTCCGGTCGTCCCGACAAAACGCAGGTCGTTGGAGGGATCTTGGAGTTGATGTATTTTAGATGTGGGGGTGTTTACCCTCCCTGGAACTAACATGGAAGTGGAGTTCACCACCTGTTTGTAGTGGAACATGGTCTTCCTTTCGGGGCCATTCTCCACGTAACCATGTTAGTTCCAGAGAGTGTGCTGTAAATTTCGCAAGATTTGTGGGGCCGAACCTGAAAGTCCAGGGCTTTTTTCTTGGTTGCTTGGCTTATCCTTCATGACGTAGAGGAAATTCCCGTCCTCCAAAGACGATGCTGAATAGTCTGTGACTCCCCAGGAGATACAGCGCTCCTGTTTTTGGCGGGTTTGGTTGACATAGACGTATAGACGTAGTGAGAAGGAGGAAGAGCTGGCTGCAGTTAGATCAATCAAAGATGTTCAGAATTGTTTAGCCTTCGACCGGCTGCGGCATTTTGCGGGTATCTCAAGGGCCGGGACATGCAAAAACTATCCAAAACTGGATTGACTGCCAACAAAGTTGGGTGAGGACTTGGCCAATTGTTTGGTTGAGTCTTCCTGATAGGTAGACCAGACACGCAAGATCTTGCGAAAGGGTGTTCAGTGAAGAAGATGCCCCCCCCAAAAGTGAGCATCTCCAACCTTTACTTCTTCGGCTGGAGTCTTGAACACTCTATTTGTTGCTTCCGACACTGGGGTCAGAGGCTCCATGATTTGTTCGCCTGTTCGTGCCCTGAGTCCCTGAGGCCTGGATTCTCCTCACCATCTTTGCATGGATCTGGGAGTTCCTCACCCTCCCGCTCGACTTCTCCCGCGGGTGCGCTCGACTTCTCTGGGGGTGAGCGGGGGAAATCAGCGCATGAGAGCGCCGGTGTGTAGTGTAGTGGCAAGGGGAGAGGCCAAGAGAGATTAAGTGACCGTAAATAGGACCCGTCACCTGGGGTACCTACTGTATAGGATAGACGAGGAGTCTTGTTGGGGGAGGCAGGGCTGGTGAACAACTTGAGAACACGCGCGCGCGTGGTTCGGCTTCGCGGCTTTAGCCGCTCAGCCGAAGCGTGTGGATTCAAAGATATTCGAAGGGTGGAGGTGTGTCTTTTGAACGAGGCGCGAACTCTTCACCTGGGATCACTTGCGGGGATCACTAGGATTCACCAGGGATAGAAAAGTGATGACAAGAGCCACTCATCATTGACTCCATGACGTTCCGTCATGGACCTCATGCAAGACTGGGTCCGCGAAAATGCAAAACCAGTAATTACCCTACATGAGTTCGGTCGGACCAGGTGAAAAACGCCAGGCCCGGTACCGGGACTTGTAAGGTCCCTTTCTTCTACCTCCAAGAGGGGGACGTGTTTTTTGTAGCGCTGCCGTGCTTCAGATTCACATCGCTAAATCACCCGCCCAAGGCTTCTTCCTTTTGGGGGAAAGGGGGACACCATGGGTGACACATCATGTGACACCCCCCACTCACACCGAGAGAGAGGTGGACAAATAGGAGGTTCACCATGATCATGATTGAACCGTAACCTTTAATTCAATGGATTTGGTGGATGTTGAAGGGAACATCTACAGGACGTCTACCACTTGTGACGATGGCAAACTGGACTTCTAGGGTGTAGGGTTTTCCCATGGTATCCACTTCTGAGATGATTCTCCCAGGAAATGGCTCGGGAGTTGGATGAGTTCCTGGGGGCGGAACCCGCCGAAGCCGCCGGCTTCGCCGCTCTTTTTCCCAAGAAAGGAGTCTCTACCAGCAGTCACAGAGCTCGGGGTGGTGTTTAGTCCCATCCAGTGAGTGGAGTAGCTGGGCACCCCTAACCTCCATTAAGCACCCCTTTGTGACTGCTGGTGTAAGCACGATCACAGATGGCCTTGGACCGTAGGTCAGCAACCATTTAGGTATATGCCACCAAATCAAGCCCTTTGGCATTACAAAGGGGACATCATTGAGCGATCTGGCAGGCCGGAGCTTAGTTTGATCTTCATGTTCATTTGGACAGACTCTTGGCATCTGAAAAAAGAGTTGTTCCAGCCAGCTTGATTCTTGCTGGCTCTTGTACTTGGAAGGGGTGGGGGGCCTCGGCAGATTCGATGCCACCCCCACCTACAAGCTGCAGGACACAGCAACATAGTATACGGTGAATAGTGTGGACCACAGAGGAAAGATGGACAAGACTGTTTGTGTCCATATGATTTTGAGAGTTTGCTAAAAGCGCTAGCATTTCGGAGTCTAAGGTTTTGATGTTGAACGTGTATAGTTATAGGCACTCTCTTCGCCGCTGTTTCGACCTTGAAGCCGCTGAGGTGGACATCCTTTTGAGCTTCATCACGGGAGTCTATGTGGATGGGCGCATGCATATGGATTTGAAGACCATTGCCAAGGAGTATGCGAAGACATGGCCCCTTGGAGGTTCAGGATGTCAGTGGGAAATAGCTGTTGCGGAGCATGTCACGAGGAGCCATATACTAGGCCCTGATGAGAGCCATGCCAGAGATCTTAAGAGAAAGCAATGTGGATGCATGCGGTGTGCGAGGTGATATTTGAGTCAAACTGGGTCCATTTTGACCAACGTCCGGGTTGTGGGCAGCCCTTTACGGCACATCAATCACAGACCCCCCACAGACCCCCTTTTCACCTGCGTGGCGAACGTCTGCCCCCCGGCGGGCGTCTCTGCCATGGACCCCGCGCGCGCGCGCGCGCGCTGACGATCGTCGTAGAATCATTTTATTGGTTGCTGAGTTGATCAAACTCCCCGGCAATTCAGAATTCATGAATCAGCAGTCTAAGTGATCGTTCCGCCTAGTTCCCAGCAAAGGAGATCCTGCGGCCGGAGCCTCGAACGTCAACGTTGGATGACCTTGGACACCGAAGCCCAACGCTCGAGCCAGCTCGACCGGTCTGAGGCTCTTCTTAGATGCCAGCATCGTCGTTATCGAGTGGACCGCGCTCTTCACCCAGGACATCGCCAACTCCACGGTGCCTCTGGATGTGGGCGAAGACGCGCGAGATGGGTTCGAGCGTGCGGAGCGGAGCGCGGGAGATGGGTTCGTGGTCCTGCATAGGGCGATTTGATGTGATTGGTGGTTGTGCCGAACTGGATGAATCCCCTTCTCGGGAATATTCTTCCCGGGCCTGAAGCAAAGCCAGGTTTTACTTCGGGTTCGCCTTCCAGGCCATACCAGCATGGGCTAGATCCAGGAGGGATGAGGACCAGGAGGACCAGGAGGTTGGGTCCCTTCCTACAGTTTTCTTTGCCAAGAGCCGATCCCAGTGGTCTCGAGAGATGATACAGAGATGATATATGACAGTCACCCCCCGTCACAAAGAGATCGAGGAGGGGTGTCCAATCAAAAAGGCCTCTAGCAGTCGGTAAAACCAATGTAAAGCCAGAACATCACTGTACTTTAGAGATGTCGGCTTGCAACTTCACCATCCATCATCTTTCATGATTCCGAGACGATAAAAAGGGGGAGAGATTCCAACAAAGGGACCGTCAATAGGACCCGGAACACCTGGGGTACCATATATAGGATAGTCGGGACTGGCGTCGGGTTCTGACCCACCTGCTGCTGGTTCTGCCTTCTCTGAGGTCTCGATCTTCCGCTCCTTCCGCTTCGTGAGGCCGCGACGGCCGCGAGATCGACGGGCGGCCGCCATCTCGTCGTTGGCGTCGGGTGCGTCGGATCTCATCTCCGTCGCGTCGGCTGGGAGGGACTCGAAAGGAACATGCATGAAAGGGAAAACACACAATTCAATCACTGACGAACGGAGTGGGGCACCAGCTTCTTCAGCAAAGTGACCTCTTTGGAGTGCCATCCAGTGACCTTATAGAGGCCCTTTTGTGACCTCAATCTGGGAGATCAAAAGGTCACTTGGAAGAACCAGGCAAAGGTCATGTCTTTTTGAATGCTAGATGTTTTGGCCGGCTAGTGTCACGTCCTTAGCTGCATCATTGATCCAGGACCAATCGACTAGGCAAGCAGGGCAGGAGCAAGGTGCTGCGATTTGTGGTCGCAACACCTGAAAGATCCTGGAAGACTTGAGTTCATGTACGTCGGTGCCATGCATACCGTTCGGGCACGTGACCTTCCGCGCCGTCCGCGATGGGTGGAAGGAGGCTCACGTGGACGTCTCCGGCGCACCGCCGACGGCGTTCTTGACGAACACGCTGTGTGTCTCGACGTTTGAGGCTCATGAAGTTGATGCGCTTCAAGAAATTGCACGCCATCTTCAGTGAGATCCTCTTCGAACGAGCCAGGGTGGGGGCGGCAAGCTATTTGGTGGGTCTCCGAGCTGGTGTGGGGCATGGGCGGAGGGGGCAGCTTCGCGTGTTCGGGCCCCTAGGAGTCGAACACGGCGTGGTGTGGATGTTGCTAAGAAGCTCAATTTTATGCCTTAAGAGAGGTTTTTGGGTGACTGTAAATGGGACCCATGACCTGGGGTAGCTGTAGGATAGTCTGTAGGGTTCTTCAACCTCTGTTGGTGTAAGAAGTGTGACGATGGAGCGAATACACTTAGTGGTGAGGAGATGCCAGTGCGGCTGCGGTGAGTAGGTGTTGAAGCACGTACCAGGTCGTACGCAACCAGAAGGGAAGCATTGAGCACGAAGGGCCTTCTGAAGGGTGTTTTGAAATATTATACAAAATTTGTTCATGGGAAGGCTCAGCAGCCGGGGTGGTGCATTCACAGCGTGGTGGGTGCTACGCCCTGGTGCGACCTCGACAGAAAACAACCCTGAAACATCGACAGAAACCCCATGGTTAGGATGATAATGGATTATATACCAGCACCTTCATGTCGGGGTCACCTGGCTGGAAGCCCCTACACTACTAAGATCTACTAAGGGACCTCGATTGGACACCCCTTGAAGGTCCAGGTAAGTGCGTGTTGATCGAGTTTCTTCAAGCAAGGTCAACGAGTTGTGCGCTGCGCAGTGCGCATAGCATCGCCGCGCTTTCGGTCCACGAGTGAAGCATTTCGGTCAACGACGAGACGGTCGAGCCATCAGTGGGATGCCATGGGTTGAGCCATCTGGGTTGAGCCATGAGAGACAGTGGCTGCCGCCATCTCTGATTCACTTTCCCATGACGGGTTGGTCGATGGAGACTCTGACCTGAGTGACGACCTGACCTCAGTGGGTCCGAACCACTGGCCACATTGAAGTCAAGGTTCGGGTCAAGACCTAAGGCCTCAGTCTTTTTGTTGGTCTTTGACTCCCACATCATTCACATGAATTGGGATAACCAATGATCAACACCACTTGCCCTGCGGCCCGGCTTTTCTGCAGCATCTCGTCTTGCTGGTGGATTGCCCGGAGACTGTGCTCCAAGAAAAGAACCGCTGCGCAGGTCTTGTCCGCAAATGTCTCCATCTTGAAGACTTGCCTGGCCTACTTGGGCAGCCCGGCGGGTGAATCCCGATTTGCAGGGTTGGGGAGTGTGGATGGCAAGGGTGTGGGGGTCGTGTAGCGTAATGACATGCATGCTGCCTGGTCGTGAAGCGGTTGTGGCGGTCTTTCCAGGAGTCTATTATAGGGTTAGGCAAGAGCATATCAAATCTCAAGTCCTCGCGAAACGGCTTTTCCGAATCTCGCCCGTTCTCGTACGACGCCACCGGACAAGTCCCCGTGCCTGGTCGCGGACACGACGGTTCCGCGTTGTTCCGCGTCGCGCGTGGTCTTTGGGGTCGCGGGGTCGGTTGGAGGGGTCGGTCGCAGCGAGGTGGGCTACATGTGATGGCGTGCCTGCTTCTCTTCATTCGGACATCGACCTCGGAAGGGCTGGAGGTCTTGAAAGAGAAGGGCGTGTCCGAGAATGACATGGCCCCTCCGAACGCAAGCCTTTCCGACCTGCGGCCTTCGGTCGATGGGAGTCCGAGGTCGCATGGGGTGACAACTGCGGGTGGTGATTGTTGGATTTCTTCCCGAACTGGGTGATTCCTGCAATTTCCCGACAAGATCCTACAAGTCCAGTCTGACCCAGTAAGACCTGCAGGTCCTTGACCTTATACCTTGAGAATCCTCGAGCAGTGTTTTTGCATGACCAACTCCAGTACAATGAGGGTGCAGGCTGGCTGGGCGAAGGCATCGTTTGCCCCGGCGAATCATTTGCTCACCCGAGGCCTATGCCTACTTGATCTCTGTGCACTGGGCCTTGGCCTCCTGGTGGACTGCGGATCAGGTGTTTTTTACTTTCCCGAAGTGGGTGAATCCCCGTTGTTTTCTTCATGTCTTATATACCAGGACCTTCCAAATCTGGTGGTTTTGGGACACCTCCTGGTCACCTCTATAAGAGGCTATTTACAGACACCTCTTGGTTTCGGTCCTGGTGGTTTTTGGACACCTGTTGTGCACAATCCAAGGACTTCTTCTTATGGTCCGAGATCGATGTGGCCGATAGCGCGACGGATCTCATCTTGAGTGCAGTCACTGGGTCAGACAATCCTCGAGACGGGGGACCCGCCGCGACTGGAAGGTGGGCGGGGTCTTCACACATTCCGCAAAGCATTGCAAAACCATGCAGAACCCATCAAAGTACCATGAAGTCTCTATAGGCTTCCATCGAGCATTGATTCGATTGATTTATATTTTTTTACCGAACGACCGAGCTGTTTCACTGAGGATTTTACACTACAAAAGCAGGTTTGTGCCATTTCTTTGAATGATGGTCTTGGAAGGGGTTTAGACTTCCTTTGACTGCACGAAGATCTTGGACCTGATGTGATCCGATGTCCATTGAGCAAACCTTAGCACAGGCACAGCCTGCTTGGGGCTGAGCTTGGTCTCAAGCAGTGTCAAGCAGGACGTCCACCTCCTCCAAAAGCCACCCAGCTACTGTAGCACCTGGTGCTGTCCTTCTTTAGGTCACCTGGTCACCCCCCTCCAGCCTTGGGCTAAGAAGGCACCTCAAGCTTGGGACACACAGAGACTGACGGAGACCCAGGTGATGCGAGTGGCTGGCTTTGTGGGGACCTCCATCTTTTTGGCGCGCATCGTCTTCTTGGCACCTTGGGAACCAGAATGACGGGTGATGTGGGCGGGTTGGAGTCAGGTCGGAGTGTTTGGGTTGCGCCAGACATGTGTGCGCTTATGTCGGTTTAATCTGAAGACAGACACACACACAACCGGAGATCACAAAGGACGTTGTTGATCAATAGCCAGCCTTTTCAAAGCGACAGTGATCCACGCAGATGCTGTCCAAGCATGTCCATCCGTGTTCGTTCCTTTTTTTTGTTTTGATGTGTTTGGATCATGTCCTCCAATGACGCTCGGGGGGCCTACTTGGACCACGTTGGGACCCGCGCGTGGGGCGGAACTGAGGTTCAACAGTTTGTGGATGCCAGGTTGAGCAATCTCCAGGCAGCTGCGGGGCTTTTTCAGGGCTAAGGAGGCTTCAAGTGTTGCTTCAACTACATGAAATCCATCTGACTTCCTTTACCCCTTTCCAGGCACTTACAGAGATTGTTCCAAGCACTTTTGAGCTTTGTGCATGTACCCGATCAATTTGTCAGCAACCTCTGGGTGGAAACCACAGTGGGTAGTCTTCCCTGGTGCGATGGAGGGGAACAACAAGGAATCCATTTAATGCATGTCTTAGATTGCAAGAAATCCATCGGAATCCCATTACTTGCGCACTGTGATTCTGACAAGTTTTTGTGAAATTTGTTGGAACACTTTCAATGGACCAGGTATGACCAGGTGATGGGCGAAGGACGCAGTGGAAAGACCTCGATCAGCTTGAAGGATCTTGGAAATTTGATCGGTGGGACCCCCCTCTCCATCCCGAATCCTTCAGGATGTGTGCAACAAGTAAACCCGTACGCTCCCTAGAACTAACATGGAAGTGGACAAGCTCCTCCAACTCTGAACTCCGTCCCCAGTCTCATCTCCCAACAGAGGTGGGTCAGAACCCTAGTTCGACGCCCTCCCAGGCCAGGGTACCCCAGGTTTTCGAAGGCGTCCTTAAAAAAAGGTCCCGGTCACTGCCTCGCAGGATGTGTGCAACAACTTCCTGGAGTCGCATCATATTACCCCGGAGCTCTCCATCCGCATGAAGAAGTTCGTAGCCCCTCGGATGGATCATCGGGGATCGAAAGTTCGGTCGGCGTTCGGGCGTAGCGGGGCCGTTCGGGCGAACCGACATGCGGCGCGGTGGGACAGGGGCTGGAGCTGAGGGAGGGAGCTGAGGGAGCGCTTGGTAGAAGATGGATGGACATTGTGATCGTTTTTGGGTGACTCGAAATGGAGTGTCCTTTAGATTTGGTGGCGAGGACCCGTCCGAACCTACATGCCCATTCCTTGACTGGGACTGCCTCCGGGATCTCCTCCGCGATGGTGGCGGGTGAGTTGGAAGTGACACGTCGCAGTGTGACTCAACGATCGCGAGACGGGCCAGACGATCCAGAGACGGTCCAGCCAAAGTTCCGCGGATCAGTTACCACTCTTTGCTCATTCTCTGTCGTGGGCCCAGGTCCCCCGCTTTGGAATCTCATACCCCCTGGGAGTCAAGTCGACTATCAAATGAATGGTCTGACTAGGGGAACTGAAAGGGAACTTCCCTCCAGGAGTCACAAAGGGGTGCTTATTGGAGGTTAGGGGTGCCCAGCTACTCCACTCACTTAGAGACCAAAGACCACCCCTTTGTGACCCCTGGTTTACTTCAGCTGGTCAAAATATCGTCGAACTGGACTTCTAGGGAAACCCGCCAGATCCAGTGGTTGGAATCCGATTTGGTCCAGGCATCTCACGCCCCAGTTGCTTCAAGCCAAGAATCAGCGGCGCACTGTCTCGGTGGGCCTGGTTCTTAGTCTAGCACATCCAAAAATGGCTGATCTTCATGCTTTTCCCCCATGATGTTCCCCCATGATGTTCCCATGCCAACCACCGTGTTTGGGTTTGTTCGGTTCTTGTCCGACAAGCACTGACACTTACCTAGTAGTTCGAATAGGTCACCTCAGTCACCTGGCCCAACACTTTTGGCGGTCGTTAGTAACTTTTGGAAGGCTTTAACAAGTACCCTCCAAAGTGAGGTCTTTGACGCACCAGGTGTAATAAGGATTATATATAGGACCCAAACGCCAGGCACTCTCTCCTCGGAGTCTCCGGACTCAGTCGCCTGAGTTCGTTTCCGAAAACCCGGAGCTCAGGTGTCGTGTCACCAGCAATCCTGGCTGGAGAGCAAGCTCAAGGAGGACCGCTCGCCGCTCCCGTGTGGCCGAGTAAAAGCATCGTTTGAGCCTATTGAACAAGCGCATTGAAGTGGAGCATGGCCTACAAGAAGCGCTTTGAAGAAGAACCACACTGACTTCAGAAGACTCAGGTGGAAGAAAACTACTGCACTTGAAGTGGAAGAAATGCCGTTGGAAGTGGGAACAGCACAATCCCCTTGAACGATGGCTTTCTTGGCTTCGGTCCACGCCTCGCAGAGCTGGAGCGGCTTCAGCCGGCATATCTTCGGCCAAAAGCGTTGGAGCTGGTTTTCGTGGTCTCCAAATCGTAAGTCAGCACTCAACACCCATTGCTGTACAGGGGTGACCTGTGATGGCACAGGTCACAGGCGCCCTGAAGATGTCTTCGACAGATTCAGGGAGATCCTTTTAAACCACGGAACTGACCGTAAACTTGCCCCATCAATTCTGCAACCACTGTAAATCAATCAAGGGTGAGCTATGGTGAGCCAGGAATCCTAGAGCGTATGCTGGATGTTCAGCCTGCTTTCGGCTCCCATCTGTGGCAGGCGTTGGCTTGGACTGCAGACGATGGACCATGAAACTATTAGCTGAATGGTGAAACACCACCTGCCACCTAGACCTAGACCCTGGGAATGGCCTCGGAATACCCTGAAATTTCAACAGCCATCTTGTTTTACTAAGGGTTTTGCACTACAAAGCCAGGTCAACCAGGTCAACCACTGGTTTTTAGGGTCAACATGAAGGCGAACGGCTGTTTAGAGGTGACCGAGTTCGACGGCAGCGCCGGTCCTCTTCGGCTCAGTGATTCTTCGATTGGGGTTGAGGTGTTGTTTGGTTTAGAGCATCCTGTAACATCCTAGATTCATCTATATAAATTCTAAGGCATTCTAAGGCACCAACTCGTGTTTTCCTTGGATTTGCCTCACCGGCGACTGCGACGTCGCCTGGTCAGGAGCAGCAGCTTTTGTCGAAGATGCCGGAGATCTTGCAGTCAGATTTGTACGAGGAGTCACTTGGATGAATGGTCTAGACCTTGGATCTGCGGGACCTCAGACAGGTGCTCACCAGGCTCTCTCTCTCTCTCTCTTTGTGGGCCATCCCTCTTCATTCAAATACTCTAACCCCCTCAAAATGCATTTGAATAACCCTCGAATGAGGGCAAATTGCCTTAAATAGTTACTTTTCTGGCACGGCGGGGCGTTCATCACATCCGCTGCAAGTCTGATATTGATTGGTAGATGTTGCGTCTGGGTAGATATTGCAAGTCTGTTTACTTTTCCTGAATCTAGATATAACATTATATAACTCTTAATAGCTGATCACATAGTTATAAAGCTTTGTTCCTGATGGCTTGGAGATTTCCAAGTAAAGAATTCATGGGTTCCTGGAAGCCTCTCTCGTGGGTGCTTTTGCATGAGGCCTCTCTCGAGCGAACGAAAGCCCGGCCGAGACTCCAAGACCGAGCCTTAAACCACATTTAAACAAATTGTTGACCTGGTTTTGTACGGTTTTGTAGTGCAACATCGTTATAGTAACATAAGCGAAAGAAGTTGTTTTTTAAAGTTATAAAGCAAATATAGTACCATGAGCAATTATGAGGTGTGAATCCTGTCCCATGATTGGCTTTCAGCTTCTCCCTAGGCGCCTTGTAGCCGGACTTAGCCGGACTCCAAGGGCTCAGAACCTGTTTCGTTGTCCCACCCGACCAGCACAGATGGTCATGTTTTTTTGAGAGCCATCCAACCGCAGTGGCTCGGAGGGTCGCTTCTTCCCGCTAGGGATCAGCCGAGCCCGCCATGAAGCGTGGAGCCGCACCATACCCTGCGGCCCGGTGCTGAGGTCCAGGGGCCCGAACCTCTGTAAGAGCACCTTCTGGAATGAGTTTCAGGACTGGCTGGACCCGGACCCGCGAAGGATTGGACCCCCTGGGCCGGCGAGTGACGGTTGTTTGGTCTCTTCTGGACCCGACGTTCACGCGCGGGGTGGTCGGTGGGGCATATCGTGTTTTTTCCCCCCCAGGGCGGCAGGTGATGAATAAGTTGACGCCAGGCATGGAGAATTTGATCTACGTTCACTCCTGAAACCACCCGGAACATGGAAGGCCAAGGAACCAACCTGTGACGTGGAAGTTGGTTCTCATTAGTGGGGGCCAATCAGGCGAATGTGAGCCACCGACAAGATGATGGGTATACGATGCAGGATGTAGATGGATTTAGCCCAAAGGGGAGGACAGACATGGGAGAACCAAGTCAACGACTTCGTTTTAATCTTTTGGGACATTCAATGGTTATTGCAGCAGACAGAGAGCGCAATGGCTTGGACCGGAGGGTTTCATCCAGGCCATCAAGCTCGCTATGGTAGGACGGCTTCTCCCCCAACGGTGAGAAGTCGTCGTATCAGCATATGTTGGCACGTTTTGGACCTGAACAAAGCCGTGAAAAAGACATGAAAACATCACCCAGACCATCCATGTATGGAATGGTTATATAGCGATTATGTTATACATTTACTTCATTTATGATCGCACAGGAGTACATGGATGTAGGATGCAAGGGCCTCATGATCGAACACCGAGCCTTCAGCCGTCTGAAAAAACGGAAGGCACGGCGCCAGCACCAACTTGTGAAGGATTGGCATGACAAGATTCAGTTTTCCTTGACTTTCGAAGTGAAACCGCTTCCCAGCAGAGGTGGGTCAGAACCCTAGTTCGACTATCCCAGTTCGATAGCCCAGGTGACGGGTCCTGTTTACGGTCACTTAACCTTTGTTGGTCACCCACCAAGTTCCGCAGCTGCAGGAGAAGTTCCGCGCCTGTTTCCGCCACGTTTGCATGGACGCGGTGACGGAGGCCCGGCGCGAGCACGGGGCGCATCATGTTGAGACCTGGAGGAATCCACTTTTTCCAGGCCTGGAGCTGCAGAACCCATCCCAGCTTGGACCTTCAAAGTGATCTCTTTGGAGTCTCTAAGTGACCTTATCCTGGGATATCAAAAGGTTGCTTGGAAGGTCCTTCAGTCCAGAGAGTAGGTTCTATTAGTTAATCAGCAGTTGACTCAGTTGACATGATGTGCTGTTAGATCTCTGTAGGGGGAGAGGCAGGCAGATTTCCGCCCACAAAAGCGTTAGGAGCCCAAGCGCGGCCCATGTGTTAAGAGGAGATGCATGATTCATGGAGATATATGTAAAGGTCAAGCTGCTTGCGTCCCTTTTTTCTATTGGCCCTTGACTGACGATGCTGAACCTTCAGCCCCGCGCCAGGTCGCCATCGTTTGGCTGTGTTTTGCCACGATCTCGCGCCAGGTCGTGGCACAAAAGCACGACATGATCTTCACCGATTTCCATCACGCGCATTCCACGCTCTACATTTTATCGGGCTCGTCGCTGGGCCGAGAGACGCGCCCTGCTGGCGGCCATAGCAAGGGGTCCCCAACAGACCGCCCTCCACACAACTTGTGACCACCCATAGGATAGCGTATAGGGTTCTTCAACCTCTGTTGGTGGAGCTGGGGCACGGCAATACGAGGGGCATCATCCCCGCTCTTCCCGCTTTTTCAGGAGACCGGCGGTGCATACGCTTTTTGTTTCGCCCGCGAACAACGAAGGGCGGCGCGCAGAAATCACCTCACGCACGGTCACGCTGAGGTTCTGCTACACGCTGGCGAGGACGATGCGTTTTGTCCCGCCGCCGACTGTGATGCGTGTCTGGACTCCGGGGCCCTAGAAGTCCAGGAAAGACAATGTGAACACCCCCCGCCTGACGCAGTTCGGAAGTTCCAGTACTATCCTTCACCTGGGAGTCAAAGACTCCTTTACATCAGTCGGTCAAAATATAGTCTTACTTTGGACTTCTAGGGTTTACTTAAGTGGGGAAAAGATTGCAGTGAGTTCAGAGTAGGTGGCGCTGGCACCCCAAGATGTGTTTAAATTTTATATAGGGTCCATCTAAAGCACCTGTTGGGGATTGTGCCATTTACTCTGAAACCATTGTAGTCGAACTGGACTTCTAGGGCAGGGACAGCATCAGGTGATCCGGGGATCTGTGGTTCGAAGCAGCCTTTCGCGGATCGAAGATTCACCTCATTACGCCCCTCAGCCTTCGCAGAGCATGTGCAGAAACGATGTGGTGTTGCAGTTGACAGGTTCACCTGGCATTGACATGGCCAATGACCTCAAAGCTTCTCCGGGCCTCAAAGCCATTCCATTCCGACCGAGCCTCCCAGCGCCTGGCACGGAATCCGTGCGCTACTCAGCCGCTGCTCGTGGCCAGGAAGCACACCTTGTTGGGGCAGCTGGGCCAACTGCTGGCTCCCCGACATGTGCGCTCACGCAAGGCCCGCAGGGAGGAGAGGACTGAGGGAGAGGTGAGGTGGCAGTGGGCAGATCCGGGCCATGGTGGTGGTTTGGAGGTGTTTTGGTCTTGGTACGTGATGTTTTGGGGTTTGAAAGTGGGTTTGAATTTGGCAGCTCTTCCTCTTCCTTCTCCTTTTGCCCAAAGGGTTCGATGTATTGTGAAAGTTCTTGCGGTGAACTCCAAGAGCCTCAAACCTACATGTCTATGAGGTTCTTATCTGCGTGCAATGTGCAAACATGTGCAAACTAGGAAGCATGTCATCACTTATTTTTCACGCTTCGTGGATGATGTCAACCCCGCTTCAAACGACACCCCCGCAAACCGCAGCTCTGAGTGGTTGGGCCATGTTGGGCCTGCGTTAGCCCTGAAAACAGCGGCAGAACCAGAACTTCAGAGGCGTACCACGGTGACTTGGGTTACCTTGATGTTGCCGGTGGGTGTTCACCTGCAAGGACCACTCGCTATCGAAAGAATCCAAGGGACAGAAAATCTGGTCACCTCCTATAGGAACAATCGAAAGAAGGTTATTCAATGTCCTAGTCTTCTTGTCCTTGACCAGAATCCGCACAAGGCTTTCGTTGATTCTGCACGTCCTTTGGCAGACGTGCAGAATCCGCATGGCCAGTCTTCACCGTCACCCGTGGCCAGGTGAAGGTGGAAGGTGGTCGGAGCATCTGTGAGATTGCCCTCTGGACCAACTGGATCCACACAGGCTCCCTACAGGCGCAGCGGCATGGGGCCGGGGGGAGTCGACGTCTAATTCGACGTTTTTGAAGAAATCGTATGACATGCAGTGGACTATTCAGATGTCTTCAGAGATCTTCAGAGTGCCATCGCACTGGCATCAAATCTTCATGCTTTGAAAATCGAAAGAAACCGCTGGTAGATCAATACTAATCAGTTCACACTTTAGTTCACTACTCTTAGTCTGAAAGAATGCTTATTTTCATGGGGTGTTCAATTCGAATCCCGGCTTCTTGGTCTCGCCACCAGAGGAGACCTGGTCCAATGAGTCAGGTGCTGGTCCACCACCCACCCAGGGGCACCCAGGTCCGACGGTTCCCTTGGTTTCAATGCAGCTTTTTGAGCAACCCTGGGTTTCAACGCAGGTGACAGGGTTTCAACGCGGGATGTGTTCCATCTCAGGTGACATGTCGGTTGTGAATTCTCTCTCTGGTTGAATGTCGCAGGCCGCCGCCAAACAGCCATGCAAATGGAAAACAACGAAACATCACCACCACGATACCTGGATCTTTCTACTGTGACACATCGTCGCCGTTTCATCCATCGAAAACAGCCAGGTAGTCAGCTAGGTTTAGGCAGAACGTTGGCATCAACGGGTCAGATCGAGGTAGACAGACACGACTAATGGGACTGGAATATATGCCGCCCCAGACAGACCCCTGTTCAACCACCCCAACTGATTGGCAGTCCTATAGCAGTCCCACGTGTCGTGTCTTTAGAACAGGTCGCTCAAGCCCAACGCAGCTGTTCTACGACTGCGGACAAGGTATGTGCAGCCCTGAAGAGTCCCAAGGGGGACCAAAAAGCACCCGGCATTTCACACCCTGGCGCCAGCTCGCCACTCTCAGAAACCGACTTGCTTGGTCGCCGGCTCCTCACCGGGGCCACGAGTGGCACGCATGTCGCATGTCGCAGGTGCTGAAGAGCGGCACCTACCTGTCGGTGAACGTGGAAGTGGCCTGGTTTGGGCGGTGATTCAGGCGACTTTTTGTTTGGGATGTGCGGGCGGTGTTCAGGTGTTTGGATATATATATGTTAGATTATATGTGGTTAGTTTGATGTTCCCTGACTGGGTGAACCTCCTTGCCGAATTTGGGTCATTTCTTCCCGGCTGGACATCCAAGGTGGCCAGCGACATCATCGCTGCCTATCCGGAAGCCCAGCGCACCGCGCACGCGTCCGGAGCCCCGGGAGAGGTAGAGTGGTGCAGATGGGAGGATCAGGGCGGGTGGCGGATCCACGGCCTGCCAGGTGCTCTCTGGCGGCCGCTGCGCAGCATGAAATATATATATAACTGGTATAGATCCTGGAACTAACATGGTTAATTACGTGGAGAATGGCCCCGAGTTCGGAAGACCATGAAATCCACGAACCAAACAGGTGGTGAACTCTACTTCCATGTTAATTCCAGGGAGAGTAGATCCTGGTAGATCAACATACCTGACCCAAGTCCGGGTGCCTGGCGTTGTTCACCTGGTCCGACCGACCTCATGAAGTTACTGTACTGGATTTGCATGTTCCAGTGGTGCATGAGGTCGGTGTCTGACCTGTAGAGAGGGATAGATCAACCCTGCTTCACCCTCTCGGGGGCGCTGGAGCTCCACGTGCTCCCGAAAACGGTCTTGGAATAGGCAGCATCCGAGGACTGCTTCACAATCCTTGCACTGACCCACTGCAGGAATAAACACAAGGACATACCCATGAAACCAGACGACCTTGGCATAGCCCATCCATTGCTTGGATCTGGAGGTGGTTGGTTAGTTACTTAGTTGTTTGATGGATTTGGTTGGTTGGCTTCACGCCATGATTGAATGTCTTAGATCAGCCCAGACTGGTCGCCTGTTGGGGGGGCCCCGTCCTTCTCTCGGCCAGGTACGGTCGCATGGTGGTGATCCAGCTCCATCACTGCAAGAACGACGCCCGGCGATGAGGGCGCCGCACTGCGCGCGGTGCCGGGGCGGTGGGGGAAGTGGCGCCCAAGTGCTCGTGACCGAAAAGGAAGGGACAGTTGATCGAGGGAGCCCTGTCAAGCTGGGTGGAGCCCTGGATGGCCTGTCCCACCCGCTTTTGGGTGATGTGGGGAGCTATGTGTTGCCACTAAAACCACGAAACGTGGGCATGTCGAGCATTGTCGAGCCAGCCCTTCGTGGCCAGCCCTTCGTTTCATGGCTGTTTCCACTCACCCGGCGGCACCGATGTGACGAGTGACTCGGTGGAACCGATGTTTGAAACAAAGATCGGTTCCAGTTCACCTTCCAAGAGACTGAGAGACCAGGGTTCTACCAAGAGAGGTAGGTTTCAGCCCTAGGTATCGCCCATCCCATATGTACCACAGACCAGTGTCCGAACGTTCAGGTCTTTCAACCTCTGTTGCTAGGACCCTGGTCTGTGGCATATATATCATATATGGGCGACAAAAACCCTCTACCTATAGGTTGATGTTCGTGGGCGAAGGCGCGGCGAACACGCGTCAGGCTTGCTTGGTCATGCTTGGTCCAACCAGTGTTTTAATGGTCTGAATCCCAAAGAACCATTGTTTTACTATAAGGATTTTTACCCTACACCACCAGCTCAACCCTTCTTTTAATTAATGGTCTAGGTATATAGGCCTTGAGAGCTCATATCCCAAAAATTTTCGGGAGATGTTCGAAGAACCTGGGTATCACCAGGGTAGGATGAGATAACCTGGATGTTGTATGAAAAACCAGGTTTTTCTTGTAAACACAACTTTTCTGGAATCAACTCATGAATTTTCATGGTATTGGAATTGCATTTTGAAGAGTTTGGTCATCTTCCACATCTCAACGGTTGTTTATTAAGTTCCCCCTGGATTTTCCACATCCCAACGCTGCCCCCCAGCAGCACCGGGGGCTCAAAGACCTTGAGCCCTTTTTGGCGCTGCGCAATGCCAGAAGGCACAAGTCGGGATTCTCAGCAAGGGCTCCTGGAGACGGCGCTGATGACGTTGGGGAAATTCATACATATGAATGGGGTGAACGACAAAGTTTAGACTTGCATCACTACTATTATCCCACCGTCATGTCAATTTAAGGCAGCCCATTTTGCTCATACCCTGGAACTGCGGTGGTTGGTGGCCATGTCAAGCACCTACGTGGATTGCAGCACTCTCGCAGGCGAGTGGGACAGCTCAGAAGCTATCCGAGATCGGCTGCGAGAAGGAGGGCACCTGACGGTCATGGACAGGAAGTCTTCAGTGAAGATCCCTACGTGCACAAGCAACTGCGATGTCTTGATACCCATCTTAGCGCAAGTGGCCAAGGGTGCCCGCATTGCTGAGATTGATGAGTTGCGTGATGCTGTTCAGGCTACGTATGCCAAACATTCACGTCAGGTCACTGACAGCGAAGTTGATGATGACGCTTGGGCGCTTCGGGAAATGATGTTCTTTGTGAAGAGGAAGACCCAACGTGAAGAACCAAGCACGGTGCCTTGATGTGAGTCAATGGCAAGGCTTACTCATATTTCAAAGTCTATGTTTTTTGGGTGGCTCACTGTTTGAACTTTGATCGAATTTGCCACCATCAGGATCCCACCTTTCAATCCTTGTGCCTGATTCTGGACCCTGATTTGCAGGCTGGCTCGTGTCTAAACCACGCAGCTTTCCCCAAACCCCAACAAAAGCTTTGAGATATTTTGAGATGTATTTTATACTGGTGAGAATTCAACAATCGATCTTCATAGCCTACTAGTAGCTTCAGTACCTGCCCAATCATTAAAAAAACTAGACCCTTCTTCGCCGTGGCCAGAAGCTGGTTGACAACATCAACGATCGTCGTGCCGCGGGAAAAGCCGACGCGGAGCCAGAGTTGAAGGATGAGGAGGACTAAAGGGTGCAATTCAATTACAACGCAACTGTACTCCCAAATAGGTGTGTTTTTGATCGGGAGACCGCCAACCAAGGTTTTGGTCTATTTCACGTGTACTTCTTCCAGGCGGTCTTTGGGGGGCCTCCCTAGCTTAATAATACACTCAAATGTTTCCAACACCCATTGGACTACGAATGCATGTTGATAGAGAGTATGCGTTTGGAGTGGAAAACATGTTGGCTTCCAAAGCCACCAATCCATCGACAATGATGTGGGCCTGCAGGAAGACGTTCCACCTACGCCTACAAAAGAGGATGACCCGGCGGCCAGTGCTGAGCCCACTGCTTCCATGGAAGTGGAAGCAAACAAGACGGCAAAGCCAGGAATTCCTACCGGGATCCCCACTCCCCAGCAAAAATCCTTTGTGGAGGGTGATGAGGCTTCCGGAAGTCCTGCCAGTGACCCAGTGGCTCCTGTCACGGCTGCTCATCCAGAAGCAAAGCCAACACCGCCTGAAGCTTCAGGAGCGGATCTTCAAGTATGGTTGTTTGACCAGGTTCAATGTAATCAGGGCCATATGAACCGGTTATATAGTTGAACACCCCGTTGAAGACCCAATGTTTATGTAGAATGGAGCTGGGCCCACATAGGTGTAGCGTCATTCCATGTCATTCCAATATATGTGTTTCCCTTTTAGCAACATCTATGAATCTCCAGGACCTGTTGCGCCGATGACCGGGCAAGACATTCTGAAGATGTTGGAGGCCAAGAAAGCTCAACTTCTGGCGACGCTTTGTCTGCATGAAAGAAAGGTTGGTGTCAAAGCCTCCACTCTCTGTGATGGTGAAAAGGATGAGGATGTATGTATTGTTCACTTAGGAGTTTGGTCTGGTACACATGCAACTGCACTACAGGATGCACGTAGTACTTAATCAAGACATGCTGGTGTGTCCTCCCAGCCCAACCCCGAGCAACCCCAAGCCCTCAATTGGACTTCCTCTGGGTCTTGTGGCCATCCTGTTCACTTAGGATCCAGCAGAAAAAGAATGAGATGATGCAAAAGTCGCAGACGCCTGCTCTCCAACGAGGCTGGCGTTGACCCAAGCCATGAGGGGTTGACCCAAGCTGCAGATTCTCATCCTACCCTGTTATAGTCTAGATCATTCTCTGTTTCTCTGTACTCTTGACTGCAGCGATTTCCGAACCTCTTGGATTTTGCGCACAGTTAATGTATTTTTTTTGAAAGAGCATGACATTTGTTGGTGTAAACATGTTTAAACATCAATTAGTTTATTTGGGTTTCAGCTATCATCGATCGACCCTTGTTGGTGATCTCAGCATCGCAAAATGCATTCACCTATAAGATGTTTGTTCACTGAAGATTGCAATGGAGTTAAGTTCATAATTATTTAGTGGAACCATTGCCAAAACGCTGTATACAGCATGTCAGTTCCGGATCTAGCTGCCTCACTTTGCTGCAACTATCCCAAATTAATTTAATGTAAAGGTCTGCAGGGTTGAACTGAAGCGCGCCAGGAATGTCTACCCCTATCTTTGGCTGCAGTGACAACGTCGAGACCCAGCCTCCGCACTCGGCGGAAGCTGCTTTGGCATCCGCTCAAGTCCAAGCCGTCGTCCCTCCTCCGCTGGGTGATCATGCTGATTCAGTCAGCCCAGATTCCAAGCGGGCAGCTTACCAGAAGAAACATGAGGAGGTTGTGGCCATATCAGAAGATTCGGACTCGCAAGACCCAGCGCTTGGTCAGGGTGCATCATCTACTCGAGAGATGCCGCAGCAAGCACTTGCTGATGGTGGCCATCCCCTTCCAGAAAAGCCCACTGCTGGCGCTCCTACTAAGCACCATCTCAGGTAGGGTGTTCCAAACTAGTTGATTCCAGTTGCAATCGAAACATATGTAATTTACCCTTTTCTCACGACAACCTTTGATCCAATATATAACATAACAGCACGTGCTATGCGCTTAAAAAAACGCCAAGTGTAACCCTTAGTTCATACATGGGGCTAAAGAACCGGAATAGGTCTAATAGGTGGGTCCGTCAGCCAGCTGACAGGTATTCTGTCGCCGAGACCAACTTGCACTTCGAGGTGCGAAGAAGGATGCCAACAAGGAAAAGAAGGGAAAGGGCAAGGGCCGAAAGAAGAATAGCCAAGCGGAATCCAACGGTGATGCCAAGCCTAAAGCCAAAGGTAAGGCCAAGAAGGCTACCAAGACAAAGGGTGCGAAGACTGAAAAGGGTGGCAAGGGCAAGAGCAAGAGTGGCAAGAGTAAGGGTCCCAAACATGACAAAAGTGCCAAGAAGACCTCAAAGAAACGTCTTGAAGAGGGGGCCAATGGTGATGGTGAAGAAGCTGCCTCCCTCAAGACAAAGCCCAAGACGAGGAAGAGTAAGTTGGAAAAACTACGATCCATGACAAAGGCAGCATCACCATCAAAACGGGATAAGGTGAACGAAGAAGAAGAAGTGGAGGCGCCCAAAAGTTCCCAGCCAAAGCGCAAGCGCAAGACCAAGAGTGAGCCCAAAGAAGACTGCAAGTCAGCTCGAACGAGCCGTCAGTCCAAGGGTGGCAAGAAAAAGGAGCCGAAAGAGATTGATGAGACCACGCACATTGCCGAGCAGGAGTCCATCATTGAGTGGCTCCAGTCCAACAACTTGGATTACAAGGCTGACTATGATGAGCTGAAGCCGGCGGCAAGGAAAGCTTTTGGCGGCACGGAGTTCTTCTCTCTCAACCCATACTGGACCAGGTTCACAGCTGGGTTGACTTTGTGGATGAATGGTGCCAAACAAGATGTTGCCCATTTCAGCTTTGAGAAGACTGCACGTGGGATGTTGCTATCAGTCGCCTGTGCATACTATCTAGCAACTCAGTCTGGCAAATAACCCAGCCCCCACCAGACCATTTAGACCTCACTAGACCCCACCGTGTCAAGAGTCTCTCTCACAACATCCGGGATCTCAGGCAATTGATGGCGAGGCCTTAGAGTCTGAGAACATCGATCAGTTCTACGAGGACTTGGCTGTCTTGAAGGGTAAGTGGCAGGAGGCTGGTGTGGCGCTGCTGAAG